CACTTAGTGGTGGAGACAGACATAAGAACAAATAATGAAGATGAAGCCCATGCAGGCTGTGTTCAACAGGCACGAGTGTTTAGTGGATGCAGATTGGTGCCAGGCACTGTGCTGGGTACATGCAGTGAACAGAGGTGTCACCTCTGCCCCCTTCGAGCTTTCAACCTAGTGGAGGAAGTGAGCTAACAGGTGAGTAAACAAATATGCCTGTGTATGGGTGGGTAATGGTACAAAGTTTGGTGAATGTTCTGAAGGGCATGAACAGGATGCAGCAATGGAGAACACCAGGCATGGAGGGGTCCTGCTTACATTTGGTGGCCAGGGAAGACCTCTCCAGTCACGTAGCACAGTTATTGGCACGCAGTCCCCACCCTTCAGCATTCACTGTTGGTGGCTTCTGACTGCATGTCCCTGTGACTCAGCCTGTGGGCTTCCTCTGGCTTCAGAGGCATGCTTGGCCAGTGTGAGGCAAATCAGAATTGTGGGGGTTTAACACCCCTGGCAGTAGCCCTCAGCCAATGATGGACAGGAGTTAAGAGGATGAATATTCCAGCCACTGGAGCCCTGCGTGCCCACAGCTGTCCTCTGCTTATTGACATCCCTTGTACTGGCTCCCTTCTGTCCCTTTCTCACCCCCTCACACTTGCTCACCAGTACTTCTGGAATCACCTTCCAAATCAACTCTTTGCATCAAATCTGTGTCTCAGGGCCTCATTGTTGGGGAGCTCACAGTAAGACAGAGGTGGCATTTACCCCAAGGCCTGAAGGATAAGAAGGAGCCGGTTAGCTACGGTGTTGCAGGGACAGCTGTGGTGGCTGGAAGAGCATATGTGAAGACCCCATTTGAATCTACCATTTCCCAGAAACTGAGAAAGCTATTAAAACCTCCCTCAAAAAGTTCCAGGGCCACATAGTTTTGTGGAGAATTCTTTCTAACTTCAAAGAGCAAAAAATGCAGATGTTATTTAAGCTTTTCCAGAACATTAAATGATTTAATTTATTTTTATAAATCCAATATTAACACTGATACCAAAATTCTACCAATATAGGATACAAATTAAAGGTAGAGACCTATCTCATACATATTGCCAAAATCCAAAATAAAATACTGGCAAATGGAATTCAGTAGTTCTTTAAGTGGCCTCATGGAGTTCACCCTGAGAATACGAGGAGAGCTCACTAGATGACATCTATTACTATAATATGTCATATTAAATAATCAAAGGGAGAAAACTATTATCTCAACAGATTAAAAAAAATTTATTTGACAAAATCCAACATCCTTTCCTTGATTAAATCAAGTCCTTAGTAGAATCAGAATAGACACATATTTCCTTAACATGAAGAAATATATGTGTATCAATATACACTTATAAACATATGCATATATCTTTTTGTCTTTTTTTTGTGGAGTGCAGGAGCTCGCTGTGTTGCCTGGCCAGGTCTTGAACTTCTGGGCTTAAGCGACCTTCACACCTCTGCCTCCATAAGCGCTGGGATTACAAGTGTGAACCACTGCGGCTGGCAAACATATTCACATTTATCTCAACCTGTGGGACTAGAAAGGTCTGTATGTGAATGAATTCCCACTCTGAGGAGTGTGTGTCCACAGGTCATAAACTGCGGGCTCTAGAGTACTCATTATCTTAAATAGCTACATGTCATCTTTTCACAAATGTCCTCTGGTATGGAAAGAGTAGTGATTAAAGATGAATTTCAGGATAGGTTATCTGAGATATGCTCCAGAATAGGGGCCAGAGGTGGGAGTGGAAGAAGATACAGATCAAACAGGTCTGCTGCGAGTTCATCATTACTATTATTTTTTTAGATTTTTTTTTGTTTGTTTTATTGACACGGAGTCTCACTCTGTCACCAGGCTGGAGTGTAGTGGCGTGATCTCAGCTCACTGCAAGCTCCCCCTCCCAGGTTCAAGTGATTCTCCTGCCTCAGCCTCCCAAGTAGCTGGGATTACAGGTGCGTACCACCACGCCCAGCTATTTTTAATAGAGATTTTGTGTTTTTAATAGAGATGGGGCCTCACCATGTTGGCCAAGCTGGTCGCGAACTCTTGACCTCAAATGATCCACCTGCCTTGGCCTCCCAAAATGCTGGGATTACAGATGTGAGCTGAGAGCCCCACCAAGAATTAAAAATGCACATATCATTTGACCTGGCGCCTCTGCTCGTGCCTGGCCCTGTGGAAATATGTGCAGTATATTTAGGTACCTCGGGGATCTGCTGGCTCATTGTAAGAACAAAGAAACTGGAAATACGGTAAATACACACCCACGGAAGACACAATCATACAACAGAGTACAGCACAGCCGTTAGAAAGAAGGAGGCGGATTAACAGTGTGGATGTGGAAAGATCTGCCAAGATGTGTTTGAGGTGAAAAAATGGCAAGGTCCAAAATAGTGGGCAGAGTGATTTTCTTTTTATAGGTAAAAAATGCTGGCATGCCAATGTCTTCAGCAAGGAAACAAAGCAGCATCGTTTCTGGGGAGAGCGACTGTGATGGAAAAGGTTTTAGTTTTCATTTTATAATCCTTTGGTATGGTTTGAATTTTGCAAACATGGGCATTCATTAACTTTATTTTAAAAATACCACTGGGATTATCTGTGTGGCAGCATTACAGGCCATTTTCGTCTTTATGCTTTTCTGTATTAAAAAAGAAAACCTTTTAAAATATCCTGCGGTCCAGAAAAATGTGTGTTGGTTCTCGGTGTGCATGTGATGAGGTACGGCTGTCGTCCCAGAGGACTCGAATTAGAGCTCATGCCCTCCTCTCTGGGCCTCAGTTTCCCCTCCTCAGGAGAAGGCAGCAGGATGAGGTGCGGGTGTGAGTGCAGCGGGTGTTGCTGGCTCTGAGGTCCAGAGGCTGACTCCTCAATGAGTGTTGGGCAGCTGCCCCTCCTCCTGCTCATCTTGTCCTGGGGCTGGAGGTGAAGGGTGAGAAAGCTGGAGTGGGGAGCAGGGTTGGTTCCTCTGAAACAGCAAAATGCAGGGTCTCAGAGGATGCCTGTGGGTGTAGAAGCAGCTGGGGGAATCTAAGGTCTAAGCCAGGGCTGCAGGGGCCTCTCTGAAGGTTGGTGCACAGAGGCCTCCCAAGGCTGCCCTGAGAATGCCTGAGGCACGGAGAGCGTGTGTGTGTGCATGCCTGTGTCTGTGCGTTTTAGCGTGTGTGGTTTGAGGAGCCTGGGGTGCCTGTGTCTGTGCTCCCACATGTAATTGTGGGATCATCTCTCTGTTTCCTGCATGCGACAGAAGCTGATTTCTTGTTAAGCTCTGGGGCTCCTCACTTAGTTGGGCTCCTTCCAAGGTCTCTAGTTTTGTATTTGTAGTTTTTTTTTTTTTTTTTGAGACGGAGTCTCCCTCTGTCGCCCAGGCTGGAGTGCAGTGGCGTGATCTCAGCTCACTGCAACCTCTGCCTCCCAGGTTCAAGTGATTCTCCTGCTTCAGCCTCTTGAGTAGCTGGGATTACAGGCAGCTGCCACCACGCCCAGCTAAATGTTTTTTGTATTTTTAGTAGAGACAGGGTTTCACCATGTTGTCCAGGCTGGTCTTGAACTCCTGACCTCAGGTGATCCACCACCTTGGCCTCCCAAAGTGCTGGGATTATAAGCGTGAGCCACCATACCTGGCCTTTGTTTAAAAAGAACTGTCCCTCCCTCATTGTATGAACCATAGGCCTGACAAGCCCTGACTCTGTCCTTGGCATATGTATATCTAGATTCACATCTATATCTGTGCCTTCCTTTCATATCTGTGCTCCAGGAACTTCCCTTTCTGGGGAAGGGACACAGCAGTGAAGACACTCAGTGTTTTGGCGTGTCCCAGCTTTATCCTGGGACAATCAGGGAGATGGAGACTAGGAGATTGACAGGGATGGCTAGGCATGGGGCTGGGGCGTGGCAGCACTCACTGTAGGGGTGCGTCTCTATGCCTGTGTGTGTACATCTGAATCTGGCACCGTGGGTGTGTGCCTGTAGCTGTGGGCTGTGTCACCCTCCATCTGTGCAGCTGACGGAACACCCCAGAGTGTGTGTGCTGGGTTTGTCATTGGCAATGGTGTGGACTAATGAGTTCCCTTGGGGCCAGTCCCTGTAGTTGGAGCAAACCACTTGTTGCCAGGAGCCTAGAGCGGGGAGTGATGATTTCACCCACCCAGGGTGTCCAGATATCCCAGTTGGCCTTCAGAGGCCCTGCTCGACTCATCTGGTTGAGACCAAGACTGAGGCCTCTCACAGGGGCTCTAGCAGTGCAGTGATTTCTGATCCCCTTGGCCACCACCTGGTCAACAGTTTGGTATAGATGGTAGGCAGAGATAGCCAAGAGTGAGTATCAGGTTTCCATGGTGACAGGATATGTGAGTGTCCCAGGTCAACAAGACCTTTGCAGGCAGTACTGGGGACAGGAGGCAGGGTTATTTTTCAAGCCCGCTCACTCCTGTTACAGAGCTGGCTCACGAGGCTGGAGGAATCTCCAAGGTCGCTCAGAACATCAGTGGTCATTCTCTGCTTACCCCCAACATGCAGACCCACTCACCAGGGTTTTCCACCCTGCTCGGTGCTCCCCCACGAAGCGGACCACCATGGCTACCATCACAGAGGATTCCTTGATCTTGGGGTTCCAGTTCAATCCAGCCAATGGGAAGTGCCAGCAGGGCATCAGAGGCTGGGAGAAGAGTAAATTTGGGATATTTCCCCCATGTACCCCCAGTTTTGGCAGTGACTTTGTGGCCTCAAATCTCCTCTCAGGTTTCCCCATGGCCCATAGCTAGCTATTCTCACTAGTTCCAGGAAACCACTCCCTCTCCTCCCTTCGGGTTTAGGGGTGAGAGCTCCCTCCCCTCTGTTGCCAGCCCAGGTGCTGCACCATCTCCTGTTGGTCCCCTCAACCTCGCCCACAGGGACTTTTTTCAGAAATCCCTGTGGAGTGAGACCTCTTCCTTGCTGGGGCCCTCCTGGTGCATAGAGTTACATAGAAATACAACTTATATTTCCTTGAGAAAATATGTTTTCTTATATTTCCTTTTCTGTTTCTTGAATACAAGCTCCTTCTGGCCTCCAGGACTTTGAACTTGCAGTATCTTCTGGTCATTTAAGAAATCATCTCTTCACCAATAAAACAAAACATGTTTTACATATTTAGCCAAGCTTGGCACTCATTAAGGGCATAACAAATAGTAGCTAGCATTACTGTTATTGTTGCTGTTGTGTTAAATGTGTATAAAATCACAGGGTCTTGGAATGGAAATAGAAATGCTCACTTGAATTGAAAGGGGCATGGTTTTAATATTGTAATAGGATGTCTCGAGCTAATATTAACTAATGTTTTGAAATATTATATCTGTGCCAATAATTCATGTTTGGTGCATTTCTGTAATATCCTTTGTGTGCCTGTATTTTTCTTTGTGTGTGTGTGACAGAGTCTTGCTCTTGCCCAGGCTGGAGTGCAGTGGCGCGATCTCAGCTTATCACAACTTCTGCCGCCTGGATTCAAGCTCCTCCTGCCTCAACCTCCTGAGTAGCTGGGATTACAGGCACCTGCCACCACACCCGGCTAATTTTTGTACTTTTTAGCAGAGATGGGGTTTTGCCATGTTGGCCAGGCTGGTCTTGACCTCCTGACCTCAGGTGATCCGCCCATCTTGGCTTCCCAAAGTGCTGGGATTACAGGCGTGAGCCACCGCGCCCAGCCGTGCCTGTATTTTTCAAAAGAAGTGTTATATTTGGGATTTTTTTATTTGTTTTAAGTTGAAATATATTTCAATATTGCACGAAAGAGGAAAAACAGTAAGTATATAATATTCAGTAAGTCAGTGTCTTGCTTCATTAAATGCCATTTAAAAATAAAATACATATGGTTAAAAAGTGAAAAAATGTATTTCTTCAAAGGGGCCTTCCCTGACCACTGTCCAAATCAGGGACTCCATTATTCTCTCTCTCACAGTCTCAGCCTATGCCTTTCACAGCAGTTACCATATTTTGTAATCACAATTTTCTTTCCTAGGTTAAGGCTTCTCTCTCCCATTAAACTATGAGCTTGACAAAGGCTTTCTGACCTCATGCAGCTGTGTCCCCAGTGCTGTGTCTTAGTGAGCAGACATGCTATGATACTGTAACAAAGAGGACCCCAAAGACAGCATCATGCATAACACTTATTTCTCCCACAGGTGATAATGCGGGCCGGTTGGCCCAGGCTGTCATGGTGGTTTGAAGGTGTTCCCAAGCTCCAAGGCCTCCCCAGACCACTTAACTCCTCAGCTACCAGGACACAACTTAAAAAATCCTTGGCCAGGCATTGTGACTCATGTCTGTAATCCCAACACTTTGGGAGGCCAAGGTGGGAGGACTGCTTGAGCCCAGGACTTAGACACCAGCCTTAGCAATATAGTGAGGCTGTGTCTCTGAAAAAGTAATTTAAAAATTAAAAAAAAAAAACAAAAAACCCTCTTATCCAGACCAATCCCACTCTCTTTGGCCTCAGCTTCAGGTCCAGGCTGCCCCAGATCCTTATTCTCCCAACCAGAGGATCATCTGTGTGGCTTCCCAAACTACAGAGCAAGTTCCCTGAGAGGAAGTTGGTCTCTCACGAATGCCACAGGGCCACTGAATGCACTCTGTCACTTTATAAAATAGTACTTATTCCTTCTGTGGCTATGGTTTACATCTGCCCACATCCCTGACTTTTGAGTGAGTTACCTCACCATTCTGTGCCTCAATTTCTTTATCTATAAAATGCGGATCACAATAGTTTGCCTCCTAGGACTGTTAGAAGAGTTCAATGAGCAAAAAGCATTTGCACTTGAACTTAGCACATGGCAGATGGTCTCTGAATAATAATCAACATTATTTTCTCTTAATTCTCTGGACTTGCCCATGAAATCCAGAGAATGAATTGCAATTTTCTTCCTTTTTTTTGAGACAGCGTCTCACTCTTGTGGCCTGGGCTGGATTGCAATGGCACGGCCCCACGGCAACCTCCCCTCCCGGGTTCAAGCGATTCACCTGCCCCAGCCTCCCGAGTAGCTGCGATTGTAGGCGCACTTCATCACGCCCAGCTAATTTTTTGTATTTTTAGTAGAGACAGGGTTTCGCCATGTTGGTCAGGCTGGTCTCGAACTCCTGACCTCAGGTGATCCACTGGTCTCGGCCTCCCAAAGTGCTGGGAATACAGGCGTGAGCTACCACACCCGGCCCAGTACTTCATTTTCAGATGCAGACATGAAGGACCAGAAGGCTGAAGCAAACTGCCCAAAGCCACTATGCTGACGGGTGGCCGAGTCTGGGTTTAACCCAGGCCCGAACCTCAGTTCCCTCATGATAAAGTTGGAGTGATGATGTCACCTCTATCAGGATTAGGTTGTGAGGCTCAAATGCCATCATGCAACCACGGCAGGCACACGGGGGCCACTCTTCAAACGTCTGTGCGCTTCCCTTGTGCCCCGCCCTGGCACACAGCCGCCCCTGCGGAGCCGAGGGATCCCAGCCCGGCAGTCCTTCGTCAGCTGCTTCTGTTTGGTTGGCGGGGACAGCTGGGCCGACAGAGAAGCCCATTGTCTCTGTCCTCTGGGGCTCCATTGTTGGGGCCTCCTCCTGGGTTGCAGCCCCGCGGACACCCCCAGCTGTTCCTCTGGCCTGGCTCAGCTTCTCCCGGCGGTGGGGGTGCGGGTCGGGGACGAAGACGCGTGCACCCTGAAGACGGTAATTAGGCCTGCTCTACAGAGGGAAACACAGGCTCTGGGAGCCTACATGCCTTCGCCGGAAGTGCTTGTCCCGGAGCTCCTGCAGACTGGGCCGGGGGTGGGCTCGGGTCGGAGAGGTCACGGGGCTCCTTAGGTCACAGGCGGCAGGGCCAGAGAAACTCCCTCGCCCCTACGTTTAACCCGCGGAAACAAGGGCCCAGAGAACGCGGACGCCAGCCCAAGGTCACACAGCGAAGCCCCGGCACAGCCCGCCGGGAACCTAGCGTTTCTAACCCTCAGCCTCTCGCTGTTTCTGCCCAGCTTGGGGAGCGCTGGAACAGGACCTAGGGTGATCGCGCCCCTTCCGCAACGCCGGTGTGAAACCCGCTTGGCCCTCCCGCCAGGGGGCGGAGCTTCCAAGCCAGGCGGGATTCCACCGGGTATTTGCCTGCGGAGGCGGGACTTCGGGCTTGATGGGCGTTGGGGGTGGCCTCCCGGCGGGCGGGCCCTCTGTGACGCCGATACTGGCGGGGCGGGCCAAGTCGGCCAGAGCTCCGCCCCCAGAGGACGCGACTAAGCCCGGGGGCGTGTCCTGGGCTGGTCCCACCCGCGCCCCGCCCCGCCCCGCCCGGTCGCGGAGCCGCGGCCAGCGCTGGGAGGGCCGGCCCCGGGATGTGAGTGCCGCGGGGTGAGGGCGGGGGTGGGACGCCCAGGCCAACCCCAGGGGCTCCCAGGGGTCCCGGTGGGCGGGCGCGCTAGGGCGAGGGCGGGGACGGCCGGGCGGGCGCGCCAGGTGAAGGCCTAGGTTTGCGGGTGAGGGACGCTCGGGACGGGTACTTCCAGGCCCTCTCGGCGCGCCAGACCAGCCCCGCGCCCCTGTTCGGTGGTCCAAGGGACGCGCGCCGGCCCCGGGCCCGGGCCCAGACCCGAAGCGGTCGGGCGACGTGCGCGGGTCTGACGTCTGCGCTGCCCAGCCCCCTGGCTGCGCGGACGCCCCCACGGAGGCAGCCACGGGGGCGGATTTCTGTCTCTGAGTGACGACTGCCAGGGTGTGATGGGAAGGGTCAGCCGCGCAGCGGGGCCGGGGACCCCTGACCCCCGCCCTGGCTCCGGTTGGGTCCCGATTTGCGTTTCTGAGCGCTTGCTGTGCTCGGCTCCTCAGCTGCATTCTCTGAGTCCTCACAACAGCCACACATTTTGCAGCCGAAGCCTTGTGCCACACAGCTGTGGGGGCAGTTATTACAGTGCAGAGGTGATGCGCGGAGGCCTTGCAGCCAGGCACACCTGAGTGCACGCCCGCTTCTCCACAGACCTGCACTGTGACCTTGGGCACACCTGGTCTGCTCTCTAAGCCTCTGGTGCGATTGTGGTGCCTACCCCCAGGGCTGCTGTGAGGACCGGATTGGAATTGGGTTCAGGAAAAGACAACCAGTGTAAGCAGCTGTTGTTGAGCGGCCCTTGTCTGTGGCTGAGGGGCTAGTGGTGCTGGACAAAGGCTGGTGGGTCAGTACAGGCGGGCTCGGGAGGGAGCTGCTTTCTGCTGAGGCTGTCCCAGCTGTGCGTCTGTCCTTTTCCACACGGTAGGCTACACACAACCCAGCTGTACCAGCATGTGCCAGAGACACGCTGGCCAATCGTGTACTCGCCGCGCTACAACATCACCTTCATGGGCCTGGAGAAGCTGCATCCCTTTGATGCCGGAAAATGGGGCAAAGTGATCAATTTCCTAAAAGGTATGGAAGGCCCCCCTTGGACTATCATCTGCTTCCTCTAACCCACCTGTCCTCTCCGTCCTCATCCCCAACATAAGCCTCAGGCTCTCCCATCTTCAGTTTCAGCTCTCGGACTGCCTTCCAACCACGCTTCCGCCCAAAAGGATTTTTTTAACAGATTCCTAAGCATGATATGATGTCCCTGGCTCAGACTCTCCTTGGCTCCCCATGCTGTGGACCTAAGTCCCGCTTCTGCCCAAGAGGCCTAGTGGAAAGGCAGCTGATTACTGATGGGCACAGGGAAGGTGAAGCTTGGAGGAGTCCATTCCCTAAGATTCAGAGAGTCAGGAGGTAGAGCACCTCCACTGCACCTCCCTTGATTACAGATGGGGGAAATTGGGGCCCAGAAAGATTAGGAAACGTGCACACAGTCACACAGTGACTAAGAGGCGGAGTTGGATTTGGAATTCAGAGCTCCAGGCTCCCCACCTTTAGGGCTCATCCCCCTAAGCAAAATGATGCTTCAAAGAGCACATCATTTTAACTGTGGTTTGTAATCAAGGGGCCTGATTTAGCTGGGAAATTCACTTAAACTTGTTTTAAAAGGAAACATTATGTCATCAAAATGGGAAAAGGCAGTTTCACTTGCCATAAATAGGTCATGGTAAAAAAAAATAAATGGAATGAAAACAACAGTATAATTTAATCCAGGCTGGTTACTATTGCCTGCAGGCTGTGAGACTGATTGGTGGTTTGAACGGAAGATGAGCAAAGCACAGGCAGGTGTTGTGAGGCCATGCCTCACTGAGCCTCCTGTGATATCATCAGAAGGTGGAGGGAGGCCGGGTGCAGTGGCTGATGCTTGTAATCCCAGCACTCTGGGAGGCCAAGGCTAGGGGATCACTTGAGGCCAGGAGTTTGAGACAAGCTTGGACAACATAGCAAGACCCTGTCTCTACAAAATAAAAATAAAAAAACTTGGCTGGGATAGTCCTAGCTACTTGAAATGCTGAGGCAGGAGGATCACTTGAGCCCAGAAGTTCGAGTTTGTAGTGAGCTATGGTTGTGCCACTGCACTCCAGCCTGGGCTACAGAGCAAGACCTTGTCTCACATTTATTTATTTGTTTATTTATTTATTGAGACAGGGTCTCACTCCCATCACCCGGGCTGGAGTGCAGTGGTGGAATCAAGGCTCATTGCCGCCTCAACCTCCCTGGCTTAAGTGATCCTCCTACCTCAGTTTTTGATATTTTGTAACATGAGGTCTCACTATGTTGTCTAGGCTAGTCTTGAACTCCTGGGCTTAAGCAATCCACCTACCTCAACCTCCCAAAGTGCTGGGATTACAGGCGTGAGCCCCTACACCTAGCCAAGACCCTGTCTCTTTAAAGGAATTAAAAAAAAAAAGAAAAGGGAAAAAAAGGTGGAGGGAGAATTCCTAAGAAGAGTTTTTCTCACTCTGAGGGTCAACATCCCTGACCCTTGTATCACCTGCTCCTGAAGGTTGTCTGGCACACCTGAGCCCTCCTTGTGACTATTAGTGGTTTGGGAAACATGGGGATCGCTGTGTGTACAATGTTCAATGCTCCTTGGCCAGAGGGACTGGCCACTGTCCATAATGGCTGTGGAGGCTGCCCCTTCTCAGAAGGCCCAGAAGCCAGCAGTGCCCACCTACCCCTGGGGCAGGGGCTGCCACAGGCCAAGTCTGCAGCCTGCGGGAGGGTCTGGGGCTGGCCCTGGCCTTGAGGTCAGTGGGGAAGCAGGGTGCTCCCTCTGTGGTTTCAGAAGAGAAGCTTCTGTCTGACAGCATGCTGGTGGAGGCGCGGGAGGCCTCGGAGGAGGACCTGCTGGTGGTGCACACGAGGCGCTATCTTAATGAGCTCAAGGTACAGGATGTCGGGCCTGGGGGGCTGCGGGCCTGGGGCAGGGGGCTGCTGGCCAGGAGTGTCCAGAGGCAGGAGGCGGCTCAGCCTGGGGAAGCACAGTCCCACAGGGCACCCGTTCATGTCCCTAGTGTTCGGGAAACATGGGAGTCTGTGGTCCCCAAGAGGAGAGAGGTCATAAAAAGGCAGACCTCAGTTTGGGCCAGGCCACTCTGAGGGTGGTGACCTCCCCTTCTCCAGGGCATATGAAAGCCTTCATAGGATTTTAGGCTCTACATTATGACTTTCAAGCTGTGCTCTGTCGACAGGCCTCAGAGACCCCAGCCCCTGTCCTCCTCCAACCATAGCTCTTTCACTTTGGCCTATTTTGTTTGTTTGTTCATTTATTTTTTGTTTTTGTTTTTGAAATGGAGTCTCACTGTGTTGCCCAGGCTGGAGTGCAGTGACGTGATCTCAGCTCCTCCACCTCCCGGGTTCAAGCAGTTCTCCTGCCTCACCCTCCTGAGTGAGTAGCTGGGATTACAGGAGTGTGCCACCACGCCTGGCAATTTTTTTTGTATTTTATTAGAAATATGGTTTTGCCATGTTGGCCAAGCTGGTCTTGAACTCCTGACCTCAGGTTATCTGCCCATCTTGGCTTCCCAAAGTGCCAGGATTACAGGCGTGAACCACTGCACCCACCCGATTTTTTATATTGGGCTGAAGTTTAAGACTCTGATCTAAGTACCTCTGCTAAAGATTTTTAAATGTTGCTCGGCCGGGCGCGGTGCTCACGCCTGTATCCCAGCACGGGGGCCGAGGCGGGCGGATCACAGGTCAGAGATCGAGACCATGGTGAAACCGTCCTACTAAAAATACAAAAAATTACCGGCGCGGTTGGGGTGCCTGTAGTCCCAGCTACTCGGGAGGCTGAGCAGAGAATGGCGTGAACCGGGAGGCGGAGCTTGCAGTGAGCCGAGATCGCGCCGTGCACTGCATCGTCTGGGCGACAGAGCGGAGACTCTGTCTCAAAAAAAAAAAAAAAAAGAAATTGTTGCTCTAAAAACTAATTTGAAACCCTCAGGGCTCAGCAGAGAACAGAAACAAGTGGGAGGGCTAGTGGTAAGATGGGTGAACTGGAGAATTCCTGCCCCTTCCCAAGGGGCTGCTACTG